AATGCTCAGTGATAATGCTGCTCTTTGACTGGGAAGAAGATAAATACCCACAACCTTTATCAGTGACTGTGTGTGTGTAACAGAAATTTAAGCAAAAAGGTGGTTTATTGTAAGGAAACAGGAATCTCTTATAGAAGAACCCAAGATCCAGAAGCTACAGACTAGAATACAAATCTAGAATTAAAAACAAACAAACAAACAAAAAAACCCAATGCTGTCAGGACTCAGGTTTCTCTTTCTACTACCCCTTTTTTTTTTTTGAGACAGAGTCTCAACTCTGTTCCCCTGGGGTTAGAGTGCTGTGGCATCAGCCCAGTTCACAGCAACCTCAAACTCCTGGGCTCAAGGGATCCTCTTGCCTCAGCCTCCCAAGTAGCTGGGACTACAGGCATGCGCCACCATGCCCAGCTAATTTTTGTGTATATTTTTAGTTATCTAGCTAATTTTTTTCTATTTTTAGTAGAGATAGGGTCTCGCTCTTGTTCAGGCTGGTCTCGAACTCCTGAGCTTAAAAGATCCGCCTGCCTCGGCCTCCCAGAGTGCTAGGATTACAGGTGTGCGCCACCGCGCCCAGCCATCTACCACTATTTTGGTTTGTTTTTTGTTGGTTGGTTGCTTTTTAATCTTTGCTGTTATCATCGGCACCGTGTTTCTGTGCAGGTTGGCTGCATTGGCTTCCCTGGACACACAGACCAAGCGCAGCAGTCTCAGCCCCCGTGTCACCACGCCTCCTTGTCCCTGGTTCCAGCAGAGACTGGCAAGAGCAGCGAGAGGTTGCAAACTGGTGTTCTACAGCAGATACGGCCTGCACCTATGTTTGCTTTGGACAACACAGATTTTTTTTTTCTAATGTAAAATAATTTCAACATTGTTAAATTGCAAGATTTCATATAAAAACATAAGTTTTGGACTTCTGTAAATGTCAGAAAACCTGGTAAATTGGACTTACATGTGGCTGGAGTTGAATAATGGCCTCCCCTTTGCATGGGGTATGTGCTCTTCAACTTCAGTTTCTCTATCGTATCTGTCCCAGTTCACGTTGCTGTCATAAGGATGCCATAGACTCAAGCAACAATTTATTTCTCACCATTCTGGAGGCTGAGACGTCTGAAATCAGAGCACCAGCATGGTTGGGTTCTGGTGGGGGCTCTCTCTCCTGGGTTCTCTCACCTGGCAGAGAGCAGAGTGAGGAAGCAAGTTCTCTCGTGTCTCTTCTTACAAGGGCACTCATCCTAGTATGAGGTCTCTACTCTCAGCACCTAATTATTTCCCAAAGGCCCCATATCCAAATAATATCACATTAGGAGTTAGGTTTTTTAAACATCTAAATGTGAGGGATCATGCTATGGTTTGAACTTCCCCTCCAAAACTCATGTAGCCATTGTAACAGTATTAAGAGGTGGGACCAGGCCGGGCGCGGTGGCTCACGCCTGTAATCCTAGCACTCTGGGAGGCCAAGGAGGGCGGATTGCTCAAGGTCAGGAGTTCGAAACCAGCCTGAGCAAGAGCAAGACCCCATCTCTACTATAAATAGAAAGAAATTAATTGGCCAACTAATAAATATATATATAAAATTAGCCGGGCATGGTGGCGCATGCCTGTAGTCCCGGCTACTTGGGAGGCTGAGGCAGGAGGACTGCTTGAGCCCAGGAGATTGAGGTTGCTGTGAGCTAGGCTGATGCCACAGCACTCACTCTAGCCTGGGCAACAAAGTGAGACTCTGTCTAAAAAGAAAAAAAGAGAGAGGTGGGACCTTTTAGAGGTAGTTAGGTCTTGAGGGCTCTGCCTTTGTGAATGGATTAATGCTGTTAGCACAGGAGCAGGTTAGTTATCACGAAAGTGGGCTCCTGCTAGAAGAATAAGTTCCAGCCCCTTCCCTCCCTTTGTCTTGCATGCTTCCTTACCCTTCAACTTTCTGCCTTCCACCTTCCGCCCTGGGATAACACAGCACGAAGGCCCTTTACCAGATGTCGGCACCATCTGGACTTCTAGCTTCCATAACCATGAGCCAAATAAATTTCTATTCTTTATAAATTACCCATCTGTGGTATTCTGTTATAGCAGCAAAAAATGAACTAAGCCAGGGAGACACAAACATTCTGTCCATAGCAGTATCCCTGACCCCAAGATCACAGGTCAGATGCTGTCTACCAGGTTGTGCTATTGGTTTCCCTTTACCTGGCCAGTATCACTCACTATGTTACCTGCTTGGCCCTGACAGGCATTTGAATTAGCAACCCCACTGAAATTTCTGAGTACATGCATATTCTAAATTCCCCAGAAAAAGAATTAGATTAACCCAGCTGTGATCATGTATCTGCCCCTGGTCCAAACAGCTTGACTGACCATGGTAGAACTCATGCGGCTCAGGACTCACTCAGCAAAAACTGTAGGTGCAGAAATTTTGAGGGAGCATTAAGGGTAAGTTCTCCAAGAAGACAGTATGGGGAGGGAGGAAATGATGGATGCCTCTTGTATACCTGCCATCAGTTTTACTTTTCAGGGTTCATGCTTTTATCCTTCCATAGTTAAGTCCCCTATGACCAGACCACAGACATTTTTTGCAAGATGGACAACAGGGTTTATGGGTGTAAATGAGTTGGTAGACAGTGTACAGATCTAGGGTCTTTGTTTTGTTTTGTCTTAATAGATGCTATAGTGTGAGCTCCACAAGGGCAGGAATTTTTTTAAGCTTGGTTTTCTGATTTATCCCAAGCACCTAGAATAGTGCCTGGTCCACAAATGTGCAGTATATACATTGGGTGAACAAGTGAGTCAAGGAACTGAGTCCCTGTCATATGCTGCATAGCTGTGGTTCTTGGCTGGAGTTCCTCTTGGAATTACTTGGAAAGCCTTTAAAAGTATAGACTCCCTGGGCCCATCTTAGACCTACTGAAATAAACTTTCCATAGGTAGGGCCAAGGAGCCTATATTTTTGGGAAAGCATGCTAGGGGATTTTGATGAACAGGAATTGTTTAACAAACAAACAAAAACCCTCTAAGATCTTTTCCATTGTCTCAGATTCTTCTCCAAAATTTTCTGAAACAACTAAAGAGGCAGGAGAAGGAAGAGAGGTAGAGGGAGCAAGGATAAACAGAAAAATTGAAAACAAAGGAAACAGAGAAAAGCAAATTTGGAAGCTTTTCAAGGAAGCATTTCTAGCTAACATTGTTTACATAGCACAAGCTGGATTTAGGTATCTCTGAAAACAATTTCTACAATTATCCCTGTGAAAATCAACCAGCCATTTTATAATTTGCAAAAATTTCACTTCCAGGTGAATGTTTTGCTGTAGTAATTGTCTAAGCATGTCTAATAGGAGTAAGCATTGACTTTTCTCTTGAACATTTGTGTAGATATAAAACTTTAAATAAGTGTCAACAGATATTAAGGCTAAAAAATTAATCTGCCCTAAGTTAGTCTACTGCTGTTTGTACAAAGGCAAAAAAAGAAAAAAACAACTTGCTCCAGCAAGGGTGTCCTCGTGGCAGAGCACATTTTCAAATGATGCTGGCGAATGCACAATGAAGCACACGCTGATCATGTGAGCCCAGAGCACGGCCTCGAAAAGGTCACCGGCACTCAGGCGGCGTTGGAAACCGAGGTCTACGATACACTACGCAGTTTATTCTCAGCACAACCGTGTGAGATGGTTAGGTTTCACTTTCGTTGAAATAAATATGTGAGGGCAACCAGTGCTAAAAGCTGGGAGGGCTTTGCCTCCCTTGCAGTAAACTTTACCCCGCACTCCCCAAGGTGGGCGAACTAGGGCTTGGACAGGAAGCTCCCGAGGTGCTGAGAGCTAGAGTCCGGACGGCAAGGCCCCAGAATCCAACCCGAAGGTGGTGAGCAGGCACCTGGCAGCAGAAACAAGCTGAGAATGCAGGACTTCCTAAGGGGTCAAGAACAGTGACCCAGGACCTCAGGGATTAACTTACTGTCCCCCCCTTCTCTCATGTTGTATGTAAGTGTGAGTTGGCTGGAATCCTCTACTCAGGAAAACACCCTAACGGGGAGGTCTCCTGAAGCTCCATTGTCCAGGAAGGTCTCCTGAAGCTCCTCTGGCTCCACGGGGGGCTCGGCAGGCTCCCCGCCCAGCCACCCCACCCCTCAGTGCTTCTCTCAAGGGAACCCCATCTTACATCCCTTGGGGGGGAAGGTGGGGGGAGGGATTCTCTTTTTTTGTTGTTCTTTATTTTCCACCTTGAATTTTTTGCTTTCCTTTCCTTAGACCTGGGTTTTCCTCTAGCTGGATTCTCCCAGGTCAAACTATTTTTGGAGCTTGAACACTTTATCAGGGTACATCACCAGGAGGAGCTTGTTAAACATGGAAAGTCCTGGGCTTCTCCCCCCACAGACGTGGACTGGGGGAGAAGTCAACAATCTGTGCGTATAACAAGTGCCCCAGGAAATTCTAGTGCAGGTAGTCCACGGTCCCCTCTTGAGAGCCCCTGAGCGTTTCCTACTGCTCAAGTCCCACACAAAGCCCCTGGCACTCTCTTGCAGCAGCTCTTCCAACACAGAGTAGCAATTTGACAGGATCTAGGTTAGATGACAAAATTTAGTGTGCGGCCCCACTTGGACCAAGCAGTCATGTCTCTGGAGCCCTGACTTTGCCTACCTTTTTCCCTCCTTCCTTCTTTCCCTTCCATTCTTGCTTCTCCTCTGGCTCCTTTGCTCTCACTGCCCACCTGCACTCGTATTCAGCCAGGAGCCACTGAGGCTGGGAGCCCTGTTCTCCCCTGTCTTTCCCTTTCCCTGGGTAAGCCAGGCCCAGTGAGTGGGATCCTGACTCCAAAGTTACAATCAAAAGAAAGGAAAGGCCAGGCACAGTGTCTCACTCCTGTAATCCAAACACAAATACTTTGGGAGGCTGAGGCAGGAGGACTGCTTGAGTTCTGCAATCCTCTGCGAGAAGGTAAAGGTGCCTTCCTCCTGGAAGACAGCCTGAGGTGTTGCATTCAGGTTGGATTCCAAGCCTCGCCCATGCCTAGGCTGGGCACCCCTTTGCAGAGCTCAAACCACACAACCTTGTGTGGCTGCAGAATTCCTTCCCCTTCCCTCCTCTCTGGTATGCCGTCTCTTTCCTCCATTTACTTCTCCACCCTGGCCATTTTCTCCCCCACACCTCTTCCCCATCCCTTTTACCCTCCCTGGTGCCTCTGCTCCGTGTCTCTTACTCTCTTCACCCTCAATCTCTCACGGGGGCTTTTCTCCTCCATACGTCCTGGCTGCTCACGCTCTCTTCCTGCAGCACGTACTACGTGCTCCACGAGTTTCCTCGTTCTTCCCTTGCGGGACCATATAGAGGAAGGCTTTGTTTGCCCCATTTAATGGAAACTAAACCAAGGTTCAGGCAGTTTACATAACTTGACTCAGGTCACACTAGCCTTAAGGAACAAAGTCGGCAATGTAATCCAAATTTAGGTGACTTCAAACTCGAAGTTCTGACTTCTGCTTCTGACTGGGACTGAGTAACAGGGACAGATTTTATCCTTCTGTCTGAAACAATAACAAAAAGGAGATGAGATATGTGAGATAATAGTTTCAAGACACTAGATATCAGGTAACAAAGGCCAGTGTTCCTGCAGAGATGGGAAATAAAATTAATGAGCCCTACCTTACCCTGGCTTAACTGCCTTGAGAGAGCTTCCAGGCCATGGCCCAGGGAGGGAGAACTGAGGCAGAGCCTGCTGATCTCACTGAGTTAACAAGACAGAGCTAAGAGTCTGGGGGAGACCAAAGCAGCCAGAGTTCAGAGGATAGAACATGAGAGAGAGAGAGAGAGAGAGAGAGAGAGAGAGAGAGAGAGAGAGAGAGAGAGAGAGAGAGCGCTGCAAAGAAAGTGAATAGAGATTTGCGGAGAAAGAATATTTATCAGAATGCCAAATATAGGGGTAAAACATCTGAAAGGAGGGTAGGTGCTTAGTCCTAACACAGGGCCAGCAATTGTGCTATTGCAGTTATATAATTCATGGCACATTGGGTAGAGTACTCAGGAAGGTCTTGCCTCAGTGGGAATATTTAGCTCTGGACTGATCACCACCCTGTACCCACCTAACAAATCATAAAAGCAAGACCCAAAAGGATCAAACAATTTCCAAATAACTTCCTCCCAGAACAAAGCTCAAGAAGATTTACTGTAATACAAAAAATATCTATCACCCAATAAGATATAAATCCCAATGTCCATCATCCAATCAAAGATTACTAGGCAGGCAAGGAGGCAAGAAAGCATGACGCAGTTCAAAGGGAATAATCAATTGAAGTGGACTGGCCCAACCCAGAGCTGATGTAGATGTTAACATTAGCAGAAAAAGACATGGAAACATGTCGTAAGTGCTTAATAAATGTTAGCTGTCATTATTATTTCATTCTGCCCTCAAAGAAGTTTACCTCAAGGAAACTCTGACCATCCACACTGACGGAAAGTACAACTGAGCGTTGGAATGGTGGAGTGGGCTAACCAAGGTCCCAGAGGAAGTGACCTGCAGAGCATGGGCTAGAATTAGTTCCTTCATTTATATATTATGTCACTCACCTATGAGCTTTAGTTAAAAGATCTTTCTACATCTGGGCACTACCAGCATCCAGGAAGTTGGGGAGAGGCAGCCAGCCAGAGCTAGTTACTACCATCAGTCTGGAGTAAAATAAACAAAAAACAAAAGACAGAGAGAACGAGACAGAGTATATTTAGCTTCAAATACTGAGCCGTGTCATTTGGAGGATGGAATGAGAATCAATTATTATCACCCCTTACACTGAGACCCATCACTGAGATCATTGTACATATGGAAATACATAAAATGATTGATTTTTATTTATTTTGCTCAGGAAGCTTTTACAGTGAGGCAGGGAAAGATTCATTGCTCTTTGCAGTGTGAATGAGCATCTGCCGGAGCTGGGCCGCCTTCTCTCTCAATCCTCCTGAGCAGAACAGAGTGGAAAAGCTTTCGTGATCATCCAAAATCTCCAAAAAGCTGCCTGGAAGTGTTTCTCTAAGCATCTCGTGAGACTTTGAGAGGGCTCCAACCCAAGTGCAGAGGATCTGCCTAAAGGGATCCTCCCAGCCTCCTGGATGAGAAATTCCTCAAGGAAAATAACAGGTCACATACAACTTGGCATTTGCCACGTTGCCCAACAAGTGCCTTGTCCACGGTGGGCACTCAGTATATGCACGGTAAATGAATAAATGAAGATGCTTAGAGAAATGTCTTCTCCTCTGAATGTTTGAAAACGAATGCTGTGCGGAATATATATTTTAAGAATAAGGTAACAGTTATACTCCTTCTTCATTGCCAACAAAATAAAATCTACAGAGTGTTTTTTACATAGTTTTTAAAGAAAACTGTACCCAATAATAAATTTTCTTCCCAACTGAGGCTAGCTAGAGAATATTTTAAACAAAAATTACAATTTTGGAGGTATTTCTGACCTACAACAAATATCATAAGGCCAATAGCTCTGTTTTAGACTCTTCGTTCTATTATCACTAGAGGGTGGTCCTATCTTCCCAAATAAGAAATCAGGACACATATAGGCTGCTCATCCACCTGGGATGCCAAGGTCTGTCCTTGGTGTACTCCTACTCATCCCTTAAAACCCAGCCTAAGTGTCACCTCTTCTGGAAAACCTTCTCAGCCACTATCCCACTTCCAGACTAAATAAAGTTAGTCACTGCCCCTTATGGTCCCTTGTGATTGAAAACATATTTTGATTGTTATATGTGAATCACCAAATTGTAACTTATTGTTTATTTTGTAAGGTCCTTGAGGGCAGGGATTATGTCATTTCTATGATACTGACAGACAGTAGTTAGTAAACATTGGTTGAATTGAATTGAATGGTAATAGAGAGCGTATTCTTACTTGTGAATTTAATTATATGATGTCTTGTGAATATGTAAAATGACTTCATATTTAGTTATACATTTAACAAATTGCCTTTATTAAAAAGATTTAAATTACATGAAATCAGGGTGTCCTGGAACATCCTAGACATATGGCCATATTGCTTCAAAGCTACATAATACCAACAGCTTGGATTTAGCTAATTTGACAAAGTGAGGGGCTCAATGGCATTTGAAAGAAATGTCAAACAAAACCATGGGGGGGGGAGGGTTGGCGGTAAATTAATTTCAGTTGCCAAAGGGAAGTGATTCACTTCCAAGTGATTTGTTTTGACTCTGATATTATTTTAGTAACACAGATCTGGTCTTATATCTTCTAGTAATTGGTTTAATACCTTTGGGTGTTATTTGGCCCCTTTTCACATATGCGCTGAGCTTTTAAAATACAAGAAAATATTTATTATAAGTACTTGCTAATTAAAGAACTAGGTTCTCCTAGTGTTTAAATTTGGTTCTTAGGGAAGCTAGGAGGACTATTAGAAGAGAATTACTTCAAGAAAGGTAAAAATTATAGAGGTTAAACCCATGTGGATGATGAGGGGATGGGGAGAGTGACAAGAATTTAATCTTTCTAAGCTAGACAAAGAACACCTGCAATATCACAGCATTTCATTAATTTATTTGTTCATTCGACAAACTTATATTGGGGCTCAGCAAAAACAAAACACTGCAGTGGTTATGGCACACAGCAGAGCCCCCCAAACAGTGCTTGAAAAGATGTCTCAACAGCTTGAAAAATTAAATGTCCTTCTTTAAGAACTCAGCTGAATGCTGTAACTGTTTTTGGTTGTCAAGGTATAAAGCAAGTCATAACAGGGCTCTTAGAAGGATGGATAATGTAGTTTAGCTCAATTCCAGGTGAATTGGATTAACCCTGACATTATTTCCCAAATTGTATATGTCACAGCAGACAGAACTTAATCTACAAAAACACCCAGGTACTATTAAGATTTGGTTGTATAGCATTCAAGCCTGAGTTTTTGTTTGTTTGTTTTTTAATGAGCAGTACTCTTTAGTAGGACAAAAATAGGCAATAAACCACCTAGTTTCCTAGAATCTGGCTCCATCTGGATTTCATCTTTTTTCCCCTAAGAACCTCAGAAGCAGATAATTGACAGTGAGTGTTCCTCTGAACCAACAAGCTATCAGTATACAAACAACATTAATTTTGTTCCTTTGTCGATGAAGCAATAAGGATGCCAAAGCATATAAGTTATGGTTTCTGTTTCACTGGGTTTGTAGATTCTCTGAGAGTGAAGTATGTGCATAACGAGATGAGTAACACTAGAAGGACATGCGAGATACTAAATACAATATAGATTCAGTTCAGGGATGAGTACGTGGTTGGGGCAATGGAGGAAAGAGAACTTGACAAAGGCCTTGAATTTAGGGGAATTTATGAGAAATTCAGGTAGGGGTGGGAGGATGGGAAGGTAACAGCAGGAAGGAAGGAATATGAGTGGTGTGAGAGAACAATGAGTAGGCTGGTTTTGCTAGGGTGGAGGGTTAGCATAGAACAGAGGTTACAAACTAGAGCCTGATGCCTCATTTGGGGCTGTAGAAGCTGTATTATTTGGCTTGAATTTAGTTTGAACATTGAAACACCGGTAGAACTCACACCAAAATCTAGATTGCTGATATTCCCTTAAAAATTGGAAAGTCTGGGTGGCAAGAGCCTGCAGGTCCACAAGACAATAAAAACTTAAGCTGAATGAATCACCATTATACCCTTTAGACCAGGGTAAATGTTCCACTTTGATGCCATTCCCACCCGGTCTAGCTGCTCATTTACCTCCCAATCCCACAGCTTGCGAGCATGTAGTCAGCTTTTGCTAGGTTAGGCTGTGCTGACAAACACTCCCCAAACCCCAGTGGTTTACCACTCACTCCAAGTTTTATGTCTCACTCTACTTACCTGTCAGCTGCTGTCCATCGTGCCTGCGCTCCATGTGTCTTCTCCATTCCGAGATCTAGGCAGAAGGAGCAGCTCCTACCTAGGGGTGAAGGGGCAGAAAGAACAATGGCAGAACCACGAGAATGGCTGTAAAACCTTCGCTCAGGCACGGTATACGTTACTTCCTTTGAGAGCACACTTGACCAATCACATGCCAAACTTGGTGTCAATGGCTTGGGAAAACACAATCTTCTCACAGGGAGATTCAGTGACTAATTGGAAATATACCATAAAATCTTCAACAGGATTTGAATTTATTCCTCTCCTGATGAGAAAACATTCTGGAGGGAGGTAGGAGTAAACACCAGAGGGCCCTGAGTGTCAGCGACAAGGCTCCGTGTCTGACAGCAAAGTTCCACATGCACATAAAACAAACAAACAAACAAAAAAAAACCCAAGAAAGTGAGTCTGGGAAACAGGCCTTTCACATCCACCCTGACAAGAAGCACGCCACTGAACGTGACAAGCTGATAGAGGAGGAGGAAAGGGTTAGATGCCTTCGCTCCTGTCTTTATTTACAGCTAAGGACAGAACACTTTGTCACCTTGGAAACAACCAACAAAGGCAGTGTGTAAAGCTGTAAGAAATCCCTGTCTGTTCTCTCAGAGGTGACTCGGGCTAAGTAGTGGGGTGGGGTATGCTGCCACCAGATTGCCCTGGGTCCTGGGTATTGTGTAGTGAGGCAGGTGGCTCCAGCTGGAAGAAAAAGCCGCTTGGCCTTTGATAGCCACAGCTGACTACATAATATGTACCTTCTTGTCTTTTGTATTCAAAGATAACACTGCTGACCGAGAAGAGTGTGGCCGCAGTGTCTGAACCCGTGACCTACACTGGGGACAGTATAGTCTCCCTGCTGTATAACTGTTCTTTGTAAGTCTCACTGCAGTCAAAGGTTTTACAGCCTGTATCACTTTTACTCTGAATAAGCCTTAACAACCTGGCAGATTTTGCTGTCATTCCCAAAGGCCATTTATGTGTCGCTGCTTGCATATGTATAGTCACTCATCTTCTCTTCCCGTTTCATACTAAGTTGCATAAACACTACACTAGTAAAATTCTTCAAGAAGCTGGATGTGCTTCCATCATAGGCTAGAGACTCTAAATTTAAAGATTAATCAAAATTACTGCTGTGCCAGCCTGAGGTCTTGGTGTGATGTCTCATGTCATGCTGATGCCACACTGGCACTATCCAAAAAAATTCTTGGCCTTTGAAATGGAGTGTTGAGCTTCCTAGACCATCCGTACATTATTATCAGTTAGGTAGCAGCACACAGCTGAAATAGCCCAGCATGTCTTTAGCCCCAGCTGTATAACATGTATATTCCGTGACAGTTGCGTGACTGAGGCCATGCCTACATAATTATTCATATGTTGTAGCACATTTTATTTGCATTTTTGCTGTAGAAAACATCGAATTTTGTTTCAGATTAAACATCATTAAGCTCAAAACTTTATAATCAATTACAGTCCATTTGAATACTAAACTTCAGAGTATGTACGTGTACTTATAACATGGCTTAACAGTGATAAATGAAGGAAATGTGAGTTTTGGTCTCTGCTTAGCCACTTACTATGTGACCATCCACAAGTCATTTGTTCATTTATAAAAATAGTGGACTAGGCTAGATAAGAGGCAGCAAACATTTGACAAATGTGCCATTATATCAAACTCCCTTTGGTATGGCAGACTTGACTCATCAGTCTTGGCCCTGATTCTTGCTGATCCTAGAATGATCCATAGTCTTCTTTTCAGTACAGAACTCCAGGCAGCTACTGCTGGTCATTGGAGTCTGCACTCAAATTGAAATCTCTGTATGAGGCCAGGTCTAAATAATCTACCATATATACAGATAACACATGAAAGTACTTTGCAAACTGTTCTGTATTGCACAAGTTTAAGGTGTCACTACTATTAAATTAACTATTATTACAGAAAGTTTGTGTAGATTGTGATCAGACTATATGGGGTGCTGATGGGTGATTTGTACCTTGCGGGTATCACCTATAATTGTTATTCTAACAGCATGTGTAAAGAGATTTGGCTTCTGGCATTTTTTTAAGTGAGCATATAGTATGAAAGCAATTTTAAAATACAGGGCAAGGACTATCTTGGACTGCCTAGGAAACTCTTTGGGAAACATATCAGCTTGGATTTGAAGCTTGGCTTCACCGTTTAACATGTGAATGTTGGCCAGTCACTCAACCTCTCTGTGCCTCAGTTTCTTCATCTATGAGTGAGCTGTATGGCTGACCTCCTCTTAGGGTTGTTGAAAAATTTAAACGTATCAAACAAAAGGCAAAAACCATGATTCATAAGCCGTGCTCTATAAAGGTTAGTTCCTGAGGCTGAAAAACTGGTTTATGGTGAGTACGCTAGGACTTTTGACTCACTTTCTATTTTACCAAAAGATTGATAAACCTTAAGAGTCAGAAAACACTTTTAGTCAGAAACAATATTTTTTCAGTGCAAGAAATAAACCCTTGCATTTAACTTAAATCACTATCTTTTTTCAAAAAAAAAAGGTAAGAGCTGGCATCCAAGCCCTCCCTCTACGAGATCTGTCTTCTTTACCAAATGGGCTGTTGCAGCTACTTCTTTTTATTTAAAACAATTAGAAAATTTCAAGAGAGTGAGAACTCAAAAGCTGTTGACATTCAATAATGAAACAATGCTGTGGCTCAAAATAACATACATTGAACTCCGTGCTAAGATCTGAAATTGTCATATTATGCATACACAATGCTTGATCATGTGGATGACATTTCTGCAAGTCCCTCTGGGAATGTATATGTGGCACTTTCCAGAGTGATATGTGTGTCAGGGTTCTGAGCACCTAAATGAGAAGACTTCAATACTCAGTCTGGGTACTTCTGCTACTTCCACCCCAAAGATTAGAATCCTTTTTGAAACTATAACCTTAGCAGCTTTCATCTGCCCCCATCACTATTCCTCATCCATCTACCTTTCCCTCTGCCAAATGTATTGTCAGTACATACCTTTTCTCATCTTTGAAATGCAAAGCCACTTAATTACACTGTAAGAAAATTTTGAGGGTACAAACTGTATACAGTAGATAAAAATTACTAACATATTGCTTAGTTAAAAATCTGTTTGGGGCAGCTTGATTGACAAATCTTGATCCTGTGGAAGTCCATTTTTGTAGCAGAACTGTTCATCTTCTCCAAAAGCAAATGATCTGTTGTGGCTTTAACTACTGATTGGACACTCCTAAAGTCCAGAAGTATCTGTTCAATATGTGGGTGTTCTTAAGGACTAAGGGAAGACATTCTTTAGCATTTTCTTGGGGAGATGTGTTTTTAAAATGAAGATGGATGTAATTAATCCCTGTATTTTAAACCAGTGGTAAGCAATTGTTTTTATGTAAAAGCCAATATAAAAAAAATAAAACGTTTCTAGCCCCCCACCCTCTTATTTTTTTCTAAATGAAAATGACTTCCATTTTTTTCTCTCATCATAAAAATGGTATAAATTCAGAAAAGTAGGGCTCCTTTGTAGCCAATAAATATGAATATCTAGGCCCACTAAAGAAGTAGCAAAGTAGAGGCCTTTTTCAGTCTTTTTATGAACTTACATCAAAATGTGAGATGGGTACCACACAGCCTTCAAAGTCTCGAAGTGTCCATCACTTTTTCTAAAATTTAAAGTTCTTCCTTTAAATGTTGTCTTTTCTAAATTATTGTTATGGGCAAATAACATGGTTGTGCACCTGAAAATCAGAAGAGAATCACTTTTAAAACATCCATGACTGCATTCAATATGGGAACTAGCTTAAAAATAAATTTAAATGTGTGTATGCACCACACACATACCCCCACACCCACATATATGCATATATGAATACATACATACATCACAGACACAAGCATATCTATGAGGCTTCTACTGTGGAAGTAGGAATAATTCTAAAATAATTTTTATGAAGGGAGAAATAACTATCTCCTATTAGTCCCTTCTACTTATAGAGACTAGTGGGGAATAGGAACAGTGAGAGAGAAGAAAGGAAAACAGAAAATTTAAATCCTCATTAGTCTTTGCTGCTAAAATGTGGAGCCCAGAACGGATGGTTTTCATTGTGTCAGGGCACCTGAACGCATCTTGGATAAGAACAGGTGAGCCAAAGTTGAGTCTCGTGTAAAGTGACTCTAAATACGTAATAAAGAGAGGAAACAGGAAAGGGTTTAACCTCCACTTATGAGGCCCATGGATTGTTTTAGATTGTTGTGAAGAAGAGAAGAGGCCCTGGCAGTGGCATAAAAGTGAGATTCAGGCTTCAGTCAGAGCAGGGCTCAGTGCCAGAAGTGACCGTGAGGCCATGAACTTCCAGGAATCTGCAATATTATACTGAGGGAAGGAGGACAGGCATTGGAGTTAGCACAAAATGCAGCAATTATATTTAATTCTCAACGGACCAGGTAACTGCTGACACATATACCCATTTATATTTGTTTAAGCATTGAGTCAAGTCTGGAAAATATACACCAAACTATTTTCAGTTGTAATAGCCATGACTCATTCCTAGAGGTTCTAACTCATTAGGTTTGGCATGGGGACCTTGGCTATGTTTCTTAAAGAATTATTCAGGAAGGCTACCAAACATTGCTGAGAGAAATAAAAGACCTGTATATATGCAAGTACATAACATGCTCATGAACTGGAAGGTCAAGGTTTTTTTATTTTTTATTTTTTGAGACAGCATCTCACTCTGTTGCCCGGGCTAGAGTGCCATGGCACCAGACTAGCTCACAGCAACCTCAAACTCCTGGGCTCAAGAGATCCTCCTGCCTCAGCCTCCCGAGTAGCTGGGACTACAGGCATATGCCACCATGCCTGGCTAATTTTTTCTCTATATTTTTAGTTATTCAGCTAATTTCTTTCTATTTTTAGTAGAGACTGGGTCTCGCTCTTGCTCTGGCTGGTCCCAAACTCTTGAGCTCAAACAATCCCTCTCCTCGGACCCTCCCAGAGTGTTAGGATTATAGGCGTGAGTGAGGTCAAGATCAAGTTTCATAAACATGTCAAATCTACAGATTTAATGCAACCTCAATCAAAAGGCCAACATGTTTTTAGGAAATTGATAATCTGGTTCTAAAATTTATATGAAAATAAAAAAAGGGTCAAGAATAACTGTAACAATCTTAAAGAAAAAGAAATCTGAGGACTTTCATGATATCAGGTATCCAAACTTATTATAAAGCTAAATAAATAAAATGCTATTATAAAAGGCACAGAGAGAGACAAACAGATGAGTGGAACGGAATAAAGAATGCAGAAACAAAGCCCAACTGATTTACGACACTTGACTTATGACCACAGTGTTGGTACAAAGCAGTGGAGAAAGGGTGTTCTTTTCAATAGCTAGTGCTGGGTTGGTTGATATCTACCCATATTGGGGAAAAAAATGGTTGTTGACTTCTATCCTCCACCACAAACAAAAAGTCAATTCCAGATGGATGTTTGATGTACATGTGAAAGACAAAACAATAAAACTTCTGGAAGATAACATTGG